GGGTGCAGGGCCCAAGCACTTGGGCCATCCTCCACTGCCTTCCCCGGCTACAGCAGAGAGCTGGCCTGGAAGAGGGGCAACTGGGAAAGAATCCGGCGCCCCGACCCGGACTAGAACCCAGTGTGCCGGTGCCGCTAGGTGGAGGATTAGCCTATTGAGCCGCGGCACCGGATTCTTTCCCAGTTAAGTAATAACTTGGCCCTGCCATTTTCCCATAAATATTTCTATTGCTTGCTTTGGATTTCCTTTGTACTTTTACTAGATTTTCTGCCTTTACATTCTTTCATAGTGATGACCATGTTTCTGTGTTTCTGTGTGTAGCACTTCCTTAAGCATCTTTTGTAAGGCTGGATGAGTGGTGACAAATTCTTTCAATTTCTGTTTCTAACGGAAGGTCTTCATTTCACCTTCATTCATGAACGAGAGCTTTGCAGGATACTATATTCTGAGTGACAGTTTTTTCTTTTAAGACTTGGTCTAGGGGCTGGCACTGTGGTGTAGTGCGCAAAGCTACCACCTCCAGTTCTAGCATCCCATATGGGCGCCGGTTGGAGTCTCAGCTGCTCTACTCCTGATCCTGCTCTCTACTCTGACTTGGAAAAGCAGTAGAAAATGGCCAGATCCTTGGGCCCTGCACCTTGGAGGGAGACCCAAAAGAAACTCCTGGTTCCTGGCTTCAGATTGGCACAGCTCTGGCTGTCTGGCCATCTGGGGAGTGAGCCAGCAGATGAAAGACCTCTCTCTGTCTCTCTGCCTCTCTGTAACTCTGCCTTTCAAATAAACAAATTTTTAAAAATCTTACAATAAAACAAAATAAAGACTTGGTCTATGTCTCTCCATTCTCTCCTAGCCTGTAAGGTTTCTGATGAGAAATCAACTGTGAGTCTAATTGGAGATACTCTGAAGGTAATCTGGCATTTCTCTTGTGCCAGAGGGTTTTTTATTACTGATTTAATCTCTGTCTTGGTTATTGGTCTGTTTAGGCTTTCTATGTCTTCGTGATGAGATTTTTGTAGATTGTATGTCCAGGAATCTATCCATTTCCTCTAGATTTAGAATCTTCATTTTTAAAAAATATTTATTCATTTATTTGAGAGGCAGAGTTACAGAGAGAGGGATAGATAGCATATAGATAGTAATCCCCCATTTACTTATTCACTCCCCAAATGGCTGCAATGGCTGGAGCTGAACCGATCTGAAGCCAGGAGCCAGGAATTCTTTTGGGTCTCTTTCATGGGCACAGGGGCAAGCACGTGGACAATCTTTCCCTGCTTTCCTAGGCCACATGCAGAGATTTGAATCAGAAGAGGAACAGCCAGAACATGAACCAGTGCCACATGGGCTACTGACACAACAGGTGGAGGCTTAACCTACAGTGCCAGCCCCTTTTCTTCATGTTTTACTGTTGAAAGTATGACTACAATGTGTCGTGGTGAAGATCTTTTCTGGTCATGTCTATTAGGACTCAAACCTACTCACTCTGACACATCCTAACCCTTGTACCAAACACATGCCCCTTGCTTTTCCCTTTATGAGAGAGGTTGAGAGAATCCTTAATTCACTCAAGGGCCATTTGCATTTCTTTTTCTGTACATTAACTGTTCATGTCCATTTTCCACTTTCTTTTAAAAAAAGCTTTTTTTAAAAAAAAATATTTATTTGAAAGACAGAGTTACAGAGAGAGGTAGAGACAGACTGAGAGAGAAAGAGAGGTCTTCCATCCACTAGTTCACTCCCCAAATGGCTGCAATGGTCAGAGCTGAGCTAGTCTGAAGCCAGGATCCAGGAGTTTCTCCTGGGTCTTCCACTTGGATTCAGGAGCCCAAGCACTTGAGCAGTGATCCCAATGATGAATTGTCCCTCCAGCCCCTGCCGGGGCCTCTCAGCACCAACATTCAGCTCTCACAGACCTAACTCAGAGAAAATCCCATGCATGCCTGCTGTTCAGTGTCCCCGAGCAGGTCCATCCTGCCTCAGGAGCCTCTTGGGCCAGCTGAGTCTCATGTCCATCATCTCATCTTCATCTTTTTTCTTTTCTTTCTTTTTCTTTTTTTGGACAGGCAGAGTGGACACTGAGAGAGAGAGAGACAGAGAGAAAGGTCTTCCTTTGCCGTTGGTTCACCCTCCAATGGCCGCCGTGGCCGGCGGGCTGTGGCCTGCGTGGCTGCGCTGATCCGAAGCCAGGAGCCGGGTGCTTCTCCTGGTCTCCCATGCTGGTGCAGGGCCCAAGCACTTGGGCCATCCTCCACTGCATTCCCTGGCCACAGCAGAGAGCTGGCCTGGAAGAGGGGCAACCGGGACAGAATCCGGCGCCCCGACCAGGACTAGAACCCGGTGTGCCGGTGCCACAAGGCAGAGGATTAGCCTAGCGAGCCGCGGCACCGGCCCATCCCATCTTCATCTTGAGTCAGCTTTGATCTCCTTCCTCCAGTTTCAACCTTGGCTCTGTAACATCACACTTAGCCACTCTCCCCAACCCAACACAGTAGGAGCCAGGCACTTCCTGAAGGAGAATTCAGTCAGTTACTAGCAGATTTCCTCCTATAGATACCTCTCCATGGACAAGACTGTATCTGGAAATGACCTGACCAGTTTTTAGATTTAATATATTTTTTAAAGTGTTCATTCACTCATTTGTTCATTTGAAAGGCAGAGAGAGTCTTCTAGGCACTCATCAACTGCAATAATAGCCAGGATTAACCAAGCCAAAGCCCGGAACCAGGAATTCCATCCAGGTCTCCCACGTGAGTGACAGGAGCCTAAGTATTAGCGCTGTCACCTGCTGCCTCCCAGGGTGTGCACTAGCAGGAAGCTGGAATGAGGAGCAAAGCCAGGACTCAAACCCAGACTCTGATATACAATGTGGGCATCCATGAGGCATCTTAACCACTGTGCCAAATGCCTGCTTCCAGAACTCTGTCCCTACAGACCAAGAACACATTCTCAGTTAGGAAACTAGCCTTTGGCTCCACCGCATCCCAAGAACTGTGTAGAATTTTCTCTGTTCTTCATGCTCCCTTTCCCCATTCCTCTGGCACACTGCAGTTTTTGTTGTGTCCGGTAGTCTCTTTTGATAGACGTCAAATGGACATAGGACAGGGAAAAATCCTTGATCTGTGAACGTATCCCCTTCCTTTGTTAGTGGCATGCTCGCTCCACTCTTAGTTTTACATTTCAGGAAGTTATTTGGCTCTCATTGCTTCAACAGCAACACCAACAACAAAACATGAAAATCCTTGCATACCTCGTTTGGAGAATTTTAATGTTTTTCATTTACCATTGTAAAGCCAAGGGCACTTTTAAAGCTGTCTTATACACAGTTATCGTGTGTATGGCAATCTGTCTTTAAATAGGGGTGAATTACTCTTTTTAAAAAAATTAATCCTAAGGACTGGCATTGTGACACAGCAGGTTAACCCTCCACCTGTGATGCTGGCATCCCATAGGGGCTCTGGTTTGAGACCTGGCTGCTCCTCTTCTGATCTAGCTCCCTGCTAATGTACCTGGGAAAGCAGCCAAGATGGCCCAAGTGCTTGGGCTCCTGCACCCATGTGAGGGACCCAGGAGAAGCTCCTGGCTTCTAACTTTGGCCTTGGCTATTATGCTCATTTGGGGAGTGAGCCAGCAGATGGAAGATCTCTCTCTCCCTTCTTCCCCCTCTCTGTCATTCTGACTCTCAAATAAACTTTTAAAAATCACATCGCCTCCCATAAATATGTACATTTTTTAAAAAGACATTTAATTTTGCCACACCTCAAAGTTCTCATCTGTAATGAGATAATTATACCAGCCTCGTAAGATTGCTAAAATGATTAAATTACATGTATTAATATTTGTAAAACATTTACAACAGTGTCTGGAACTCAGGAAGTGTTTGTAAGTGATAAGTGTTAGATGTGAGCATGGTCAGAAAACTGCTTTTTTTTTTCTTGCATGAGAGTTGTTTTTTTTTTTTTTTTAATAATGCTTAGTTTATTTTCATCTACTTTAAAGGCAGAGCAACAGAGAGACAAAGACAGAGACAGAGATAGAGATCGTCCCTCCGCTGGTTCACTCCCCAAATGCCTACAATAGCCAGGGCTGGGCCAGGCTGAAGCTGGGAGCCTGAAACTCCATCCAGGTCTCTGACATGGTGGCAGGGACCCAAGCACTTGAGCTGCTGTCTTCCAGGGCTTATCAGTTTTATGAGGAATGTTTTTAGGAGCTCAGTGTTAATTGGTTGTTGGCTTTAACGTGTTATTGACTAAAGGACTCACACCTGTAGAGTGTTGGTCGGCCAAAGCAGCAGGATGTGGAGTCTCAGAAAGATTCATCACAGAGTGAACACTCTGTGGAGCCAAGAGCCAAGAACTCCATCTAGGTCTCCCACGTGGGTAGCAGGGGCCCACGCTCTTAGGCCATCTTTTGTTGCTTTCCCAGGCAGGCCCAATAGCAGGGAGCTGCACTGAAAGTAAAGCAGTCTGGACTTGAACCAGTGTCCATGAGATGCTGGCGTTGCAGGCAGCAAACAGCTTAACCCACTGCACCAAAATGCTGGCCCCAGTGCTTACTGTTTCAATTGAGTTTATGCTCAAATGTATTTATTTATTTATTAGAATTTGAGAGGTAGAAAAAGAGTCTCCATTCACTGATTCACTCCCCAAATGCCTGTAACAGCCAGGGTTGGGTGACGCCTGAAGCTGGGAGATGGGAGCTCGGTCTAGGTCTCCCATGTGGGTGGCAGGAACTCAGTTACTTGAATCATCACCTGTTACTTTCCCAGTTCTGCACTACAGGAGCCAGAGCTAGGAGCTGGAGCCCCTAACAAAGCCGGTTATTCCAGGTGCAAATGTCTTGACTGTAGTCTTAACTACTAGGCCAGACACTTACCTAGTGGGCACATTTTATCATATGTAAAATACATCTTCACAAGTTTCATTTCAAAAAGCGTCTCAGTTTTCTCCAGGATTTTTATGTCCTTCAGTGCTTTAGTTTTTCTTTTCTTTTTTTTTTTTCTTTAGGTATTGAGCAGAAGAAACTTGGAGGATGTGAACTGAATTGCGAGATGCTCCAGGTGCATTTTTACTGATGTGCTTAACTTATTCACCCTCTCTTGATTCCTCTCTGCTGGCTTGTTGATCACCTCCAGCCCTGTGTCTTGACCCCTCCCTGTGTTAGGTGTCCATTTGCCTTCTGGACTAGATGCTGTGCTTACTTCTTTGGATCAACTTGACTCTCCCTTGGCAAATACACACTTACGACTTGAACCTGTTTGGCCTAGGTGAGCAGGGATCTCGTGCTCAAAACCGACATGAACCTGACAGGTCAGCAGGTAGCACTGCAGGTAAGAGTGAGATTTCCAGGATGCCTTCTGCCAGGTGCTGGGAGGATGGAAAGGCCTGGCCGCAGATCTGGAGCTTCCGTCAGGTCACACAACTGGTGCTGTTTCCTTTCTGCACTGTTGGCTATTGACAGGAAGGGCATTGTCTTACTCAGCTTGGCACACAATGCTAACTCCATTGCCTGGCACACAGTGCTCAGTAAATACTAGGCATATTCATACTTGGTGGGGTCCTTCCAGAGCCATTCAATCCACATAGGCCTCCAAGTTTCCGTCACAAGAAGGACTCTCCGTAGCAGGTGAGCGGCATCTGTGCTTTTCTCCTGAGTCCCCTGTACCATTTCTCACTTTATTCTTCTTGCCCCTTTAGCTTAATGTGGAGGAACAGACTAAAATTTCCTCCTCCTGTCCTGCTCAGGCCTTCCCACCCCTTCCCACCAGTATGACATATTCTGTAGTGTGTCTACTTTGCCTTGACATTCTGCTTCCTGTATCTGCCTTTGCACCTGCTATTCTCTCTGCTGAAAACTTCCCCTTCCCCTCCAAAGTCAACTCCTATCCATCCCTCCAGACCGAGAGGTCACTAAAGTAGTAAACCTGAGAGATTTGGAACCAGCAAGGTACAAGATGTTCCTTGTATCTGAGTAGCATTGCATCCCTCCACCCAACTGTGCCTACCACAGCCCAGGCAGGAGCCAACCTGCCTGCCCCCACATGTGAACTATCACCAAGCCTGCTTAGGTCCATGGATTTTTGACCCAAAGGGCTCTCATTCTCACTGCCACTGTTGGGACCTAACCTAATCCCTAAGTCTACTGAACCTCTCGTGAACCTCCAAAATGGGGTGTGGTGGAGAGCTGGAGGGCCCCAGAGCAACAGGTGTAAAGTGGGCTGGCTCTAGGCAAACCCGGTGAACCAGGATCTACAACCACCCTCAACTCTAGCCTGGCTCATGTCTCCATCACCTCTCGCCTGGTCTCCCTGCTCCCAATCTTGCCTTACCCATTCTATAACTTCATACAACAGTCAAGAGATCTATTTAGTACATTTGTTAGCCAGCTGTCCATCTCTATAACAAATATCAGAGAGGCTACTTATGAAGTTTACTTTGGTTTTGGAGGTTCACAGTCCAAGATCAGGTGGCTCTGTTGATCTCGTCTCCAGTAACAGGGTGGCTGGCAGAGGGTGTGCAGAGAAGGATCCCATGGCAAGCAGAGAGCAACTGGGCTTGATTCAGGCTTATCTAACCCAACCTCCAGGCTTTTTTCTCCAAGAGCTGAATGGATAAACTGTGGTACTTCCAGAAAATGGAATATTATTCAGTGCTGAAAGGAAATAGGCCATCCAGCTCTATGAAGCTATAAGAAAACCTACACACATATTGCTAAGTCAAAGAAGCTGATTTGAAAAAGGTACATACCAAGTGATTCTAACTTAATGACATTCTGGAAAAGACCAAACTACAGAGACAGTGAAAGGATCAGTGGTTAGAACTGAGGAAGGGAGGCTGGTGGTGTGGCATATCAGGTTAAACCACTGCCTGCAACACTGTCATCCCATATAGGCACCAGTTCGAGTCCCGGCTTTTCCACTTCTTCTCTGTGCTGATGTGCCTGGGAAAGCAGTGAAAGATGGCCCAAATGCTTGGGCCCCTGCACCCACGTGGGAGACCTGGAAGAACCTACTGGTTCCTGGCTTTGGCCTGGCTGAGCCCTGGCTGTTAGGGCCATTTGAACCAGCAGACGAACAAAATCAATCTCTCTCTCTCTCTCTCTCTCTCTCTCTCTCTCTCATTCTCCCTCTCTATGAACTCTATATTTCAAATAAATAAATAAATAAATCTTTACAAGTGAGGAAGGAAGGAGTAGGTGGATCATAATGATGAAACTTTGCTGGTATACATTTGTCCAAACCCATAGAATGTACAATACCAAGAGTGAACACTAACGTAAACTCTGGACTCAGGGTGGCAATGATCTGTCGATGTATGTTCATGGATTGTAACAATCCATGCTCTTAGGGTGAGGAATATCCTCAGTAGGGGAGGCTGCAAGTATGTGGGAGCAGAGGGGTTGTGGTAAATCTCTGAATCTCCCACTCAATTTTGCTTTGAACCTAAAACCACACTACAAAAAAAAAGTATTTTATAAAAAAAAAAAAAAAAGCACAACTCCATGGTTCTTGTCCCCATCTCTCTGGTATTCTTTTTTTTTTTTTTTTAATTATTTTTATTTTTTTTACAGGCAGAGTGGACGGTGAGAGAGAGAGACAGAGAGAAAGGTCTTCCTTTGCCGTTGGTTCACCCTCCAATGGCCACCGCGGCCAGCGCGCTGTGGCCGGCGCACCGCGCTGATCCGAAGGCAGGAGCCGGGTGCTTCTCCTGGTCTCCCATGGGGTGCAGGGCCCAAGGACTTGGGCCATCCTCCACTGCACTCCGTGGCCACAGCAGAGAGCTGGCCTGGAAGAAGGGCAACTGGGACAGAATCCGGCACCCCGACCAGGACTAGAACCCGGTGTGCCGGCGCCACAAGGAGGAGGATTAGCCTAGTGAGCCGCGGCGCCGGCCCTCTCTGGTATTCTTAACCTTGTCCCCAGTAACCTTAAACCTCCTGTGTGGTAAAACATCGTGCTGTTATATCATCGCGGACTGTGCCTGATTCAGTTGTTCATGGGGTAAACTTCGAGAGTCTGGCACTCAAATGAGGTTTTGGTTACTAAGAAAGAGTTTTCTCCCAAAACTGTTTGTTCTGCCTTGAGCCTCGAAAGTCTGCTTTCACAACTTATTTTTACGCGTTGTTTTCCTTCCCAAAGGCAGTAAACACATCTCATAGCCAGATTCAGTGGTGGAAGGGAGGTGGAATAAAGAACTAATGAGGATGCACATATATGTCAAAATACTAGCCTTGTACATAGGCACACGCAACAAACACACAGACACTTTTTAGAACAATGGAGGTGGGAGTTGGCCTAGCAGTTATGTACCACTAGTTAGGTGAACTCCAGAACATCTGAAGATGAAGTGGAATGCTGTACAAAAAATAAAAGCCTTGTAGGTCTATGTTATTGACACAGAAACATATGGGGGGCAGGGGCTGGCGCTGCGGCATAGCGGGTAAAACTGCCACCTGCAGTGATGGCATCTCATATGGGTGCTGGTTCAAGCCCTAGCTGCTCTATTTCCGATCCAGCTCTCTGCTGTGGCCTGGAAAAGCAGTAGAAGATGGCCCAACTGCTTGGGCCCCTGACCTGCCTGGGAGACCTGGAAGAAGCTTCTGGCTCTTGGCTTTGGATCAGCGCAGCCCTGACTGTTGTGGCCATCTGGGGAGTGAACCAGCAGATGGAGGACCTCTCTCTCTCTCTGCCTCTGCTTCTCTGTAACTCTGCCTTTCAAATAAATACATAAAATCTTGAAAGAAAGAACGAGAGAGAGAGGGAGGGAGGGAGGGAAGAGAGAGAGAGAGAAAGAGAGAGAGAGAGAGAGAGAGAGAGAGAGAGAGAGAGAGAATGTGTGGGTCTGTTCCTAAGGTTGAAAAAAAAAAACCAACAAACCCAAACTGGGATCCTGCAGACACGCCAGCCATTTGCAGAGTGAAACAGCAGGCAGGGGCTCTCTCTCTCTCACTCTCTGTAACTCTCTCAAATAAAATAAATCTAAATAACAATAATATTAATAATAATAAGTTCATGGAGGGACAGCCATTTAGCCAGCATCTTAAGATGCCTGAGTGCCATATCGGAGTTCCTGGATTCCATTCTCAGCTCTGGCTCCTGACTCCGGCTCCCTGTCAATTGCACCCTGGGAGGCAGCAGGTGACGGCTCAAGTAGCTGGTTTCCTGCCACCCACGTGGGAGACCTGCATTGAGTTCTTGGCCCCTGGCTTCAGTGTCCCCAGTTGTTGCTGACATCTGGGGAGTGAAACAGTGGATAAAAGCTGCCAGTCTGCTAGTCTTTCTCTCTCATCTCTCAAGTAAATAAAAATTTTAAGAAATTTTTAAGTTTGTGGAAATGTGGAATTAAGTGTAAGTTTATTTTTTGACATTTCCTGTGGTAGGAACACAGGGAATGTTATTTTTGCCCACGTACACTTTGCTATGGTCTCTATGTGTCCTTCCAGAACCCCATTTGCAAACAGGTCACGTTCTGAGGTTGGTGAGGGTTAGACACCAAGAGACCTGTTTTTAGGGGGACACATTTGAGCCCATATTAAAAATATTAAAACTAGAAAAAACGATGGATTTCTGAAAACTACACATCAGACTACGGTGGGATTTTAACCTTCAATGTGTAGAGAACACCACTCCCTGGGAATACGAACTCTCCAACTGTTTCCTTTCTCTTTTTAAAGATTTATTTATTGGCTGGCGCCACAGCTCAATAGGCTAATTCTCCGCCTGCGGCACTGGCACACCGGGTTCTAGTCCTGGTCGGGGCGCTGGTTCTGTCCCGGTTGCCCCTCTTCCAGGCTAGCTCTCTGCTGTGGCCAGGGAGTGCAGTGGAGGATGGCCCAAGTCCTTGGGCCCTGCGCCCGCACGGGAGACCAGGAGAAGCACCTGGCTCCTTGCTTCGGATCAGCGCGATGGGCCGGCCACAGAGCAACGGCTGCAGTGGCCATTGGAGGGTGAACCAACGGCAAAGGAAGACCTTTCTCTCTGTCTTTCTCTCTCACTGTCCACTCTGCCTGTCAAAAAAAAAAAAAAAATTTATTTACTAGGGCCAGCGCTGTGGCATAGCAGATAAAGCCATCACCTGCAGTGCCTGCATCCCTTTATGGATGCTGGTTGCAGTCTTAGCTGCTCTACTTCCAATCTAGCTCCCTGCTTACGTCCCTGGGAAAGCAGTAGAAGATGGCCCAAGCGCCTCAGTCCCTGCACCCACGTGGGAGACTTGGAAGAAGCTCCTGACTCCTGGCTCCAGCCTGGTCCTGTCCTGGCTGCTGTGGCCATTTAGGAAGTGAATCAGTGGGTGGAAGATCTCTCTCTCTCTCTCTCTCTCTCTCTCTCTAACTCTGCCTTTAAAAAAAAAAGGTTTACTTATTGATTGATTGATTTGAAAGGCAGAGTTACAGAAAGAAAGAGAGAGAGAGAGAGAGAGAGATCTTCTGTCTGCTGGGTCGCTTCCAGTTGGCCACAATGGCCAGGGCTGGGCCAGGTCAAAGCCAAAAGCCAGGAGCTTCATCTGGGTCCCCCACATGGGTGCAGAGACCCAAGCACTTGAGCCACCTTCTGCTGCTTTCCCAGGCCTTTAGCAGGGAGCTGGATTGGAAGTGGAGCAGCCGGGACTGGAACAAGTGCTCATATTGGGTGCCGACACTGCAAGAGGTAGCACCCACTGTGCCATGACGCCAACCCCTCCAATCATTTTCTCACAATGAAGGTGTGCACTGATGTCTGATGTATCTGGGCAGATTTGGGTCAGGAATTCAGGACAGAGCACAGAGGGAGCCCAGCTTCAGGAGGATGCACGCACGGCACTAGGCACTTCTTTCAACAAATGCCCCCTGGCTTGGGTCTCCCCACAGAAGGGCCTCGTTTGCCCCAAGGCACTGCGCGTGTGGAAAGGCAGGGAATCTCAGCAGCCACTCCCTTCTCCTGGCCCCTTGGCCAAGAGGGGCTGTCCCTGGAGGAGCTGCTGGACCTCCCTGAGGATTTCAAGGCACTCTCTTGGGTTTTCTAAAAATTTACTTTTGGGAGCCAGCGCTGTGGTGCAGGAGGTAGGGCCGTGGCCTGCAGTGCTAGCATCCCACATGGGCACCAGTTCAAGCCCTAGCTGCTCCACTTCCAATCCAGCTCTCTGCTATGGCCTAGGAAAGCAGTAGAAGATGGCCCAAGTCCTTGGGCCCCTGCACCCGCGTGGGAGACCCAGAAGAAGCTCCTGGCTCCTGGCTTTGGATCAGCACAGCTCCAGCCATTGCAGCCATCTGGGGAGTGAACCAGCGGATGGAAGACTTCTCTCTCTCCCTCTGCCTCTGCCTCTCTATAGCTCTGCCTTTCAAATAAATAAATAAATCTTTAAAAAAAAAACAAAACAAAACAAAAAAAAACCTTATTTCTGCATCCTGTTGTGAGATAAAGTGCAGCCTCCCTGTGTGCAGAGGGCAAAGAATAATTACTTCAATTTCATCTTAAAGTCTAGAATGTTCCTGGTGATTAGATGCTGACAAGGCTTCATGTCTTACCCAGTCCTTTCCTGTTTGTTTGTTGAGCTTGCTTTGGTGGGGGGGAGGACCCAGGCCCTGGGGCCCTGTAGGATTTCGCAGGCTTCACAGGTTCACTCCCTGTTAAGAGGATGGAGTCTCCCTTTTCTCCTCGTCCCAGGCTGCGCAGCGCTCACGCGCCTCCTGCACCGAGACTGGACCTCCAGCCCCCAAGCGGGAGGTGGGCGTAGCACAAAACAGGCAGGAAAGGCGGGAGCGGGAGCGCGGACATCCGAGTCCACAGTAGAACTTGCTGGTAGGCTTTGCAGAATAAGCAAGCAAGGTTTGTTAGGGGAGGCCCAGGAGGATGGTCGGTGAGGACGCTGGCCAGGAAGTCCCAGGCTGCGGGCCCCACAGGTGTGGGCCTCGTCGACCCTGCGACTGGAAGGCCCTTTGATCAAATATTTTCCACATCTATTTATTAATAGCAGCAGCCGCGTTAGCCACACCGTCCCCTGAGTGCGGCTCAGCGGTGACGGGACCTTGGGCGCTCGCTCCCCCAAAATGTGCCGACCGGAACACGCGGTCCTCCCCAGGTTTCTGTTTGTGTTCTGGCGGGGAGACCGGGGAGACGGAGGCACCGAGAGACTCACCAGCCAATGGGAGGGCCGGAGGCTGAGGGCAGAGTCCTCCTGGGGCGCTGGGGCCTGAGGATCCTTCAGGAGGGCGGGAAACGCTCTTACCTGGTCGGGGTCCCGGAGGCCTCCTCCGCGCGCACTGTGTGGCAGCCGCCCCTGGCTCTCGCTGGAAGCCAGAGAGGCTGCCGTGAAGCGCTGATGTGTTTTTGTTCTGTTTTCCTGTAAGAGGTGCTTTCGCTTCCCAGAAAATTTACAGTGGTGCCCCCTTATCTTACACCCCAGGAGATGCCTGAAACCATGCATAGGACCAAACTCCAGACTGCATAAACTATGTTTATTCCTAAACATATATTCCTATGATAAAATTTAACGTCTAAATTAGGCAGAGTAAGAGGTTAACAGCAACAGCTAATAATAACTAATAATAAAATAGAATAACGATGACAATAGCTTAAGAAAAGTTATGTTAATGTGGTCTACCTGTTTATTTTTGGAATTTTCCATTTAATATTTTTAAACCTCAGTTGACCTTGAGTAAATTGAAACCACGGAAACCATCAGAGGTGAAGGGAACTACTGTGCTTAATACTAGGGTATATATACAAGTGTTTTCCATTTTTTTTGAAAGGTTTATGTATTTATTTATTTATTTTTGACAGGCAGAGTTAGACAATGAGAGAGAGAGAAACAGGGAGAAAGGTCTTCCTTTCCGTTGGTTCACCCCCCAAACGGCTGCTACGGCCAGCACTGCGCTGATCTGAAGCCAGGAGCCAGGTGCTTCTTCCCGGTATCCCATGCAGGTGCAGGGCCCAAGCACTTGGGCCATCCTCCACTGCACTCCCGGGCCACAGCAGAGAGCTGGACTGGAAGAGGAGCAACCAGGATAGAATCTGGTGCCCCGACCTGGACTAGAACCCGGTATGCCAGAGGATTAGCCTAGTGAGCTGCGGCACTGGCCTGGTTTATGTATTTATTTAAAAGGCAGAGTTACAGAGAGAGAAGGAGGGACAGAGAGAGAGGGAGAGATCTTCCTTCTACTGGTTCATCCCCTGCAAAGCCAGGAGCTTCATCTGTGTCTCCCACGTGGGTGGCAGGTACCCAAGTACTTGGGCCAACTTCTGGTGCTTTCTGAGGCCATTAGCAGGGAGCTGGACTGCAAGTAGAGCAGATGAGACTCAAACTGGCACCCACGTCGGATGCGGGCACTGCAGGCAGTGGCTTTATCCACTGTACCAGGATGCCAGTCCTGTACATGAGCTTTTAATGCTATAGTATATGTGAGTGTACACAGTTGTCCGTTGGTGTCCATGGGAGATTGATTCCAGGATGCCCTGTGGATGCCACATTCATATATGCTCAAGTCCCATATATACATGTGGGATATATATATATGTGTATATATATATATATATTTCTATATAACCTACATACATTCTCTTGTAAACTTTATTAGTTTTTTTTTTTTTTTAAGATTTACTTATTTGAAAGAGTTACAGAGAGAGACAGAGAGAGATGTGGTTCACTCCCCAGATGGCCACACCAGCCAAGGCTGGGCCAGGCCGAAGCCAGGAGCCAGGAGCTTTATCTGGGTCTCCTACGTGGGTTGCAGGGGCCCAAGCATTTGGGGCATCTGCTGCTGCTTTCCCAGGCCATTATCAGGGAGCTGGATCAGAAGTGGAGCAGCCGGGACATGAACTGCCGGCTTTACCTGCTACGCCACAACACTAGCTCCTCTCCTGGATACTTTAAATCATCTCTAGATTACTTTTATTGCCTAATACCATGTAAATATTATGCAAATAGTGGCATTGTATTGTTTAGGAAATAATGACTAAGTTAGAAGTCTTTACATGTTCTGTACAGATATAATTTTTTTCTGAATATTTTCAACCAAGGGTTGGTTGAATCCACTCATTTGGAACCCATGGATGTGGAAGGCTGACTGTCTTCAAAAAGTTCATAGAAATGTACATTACCATTTCAAAATGTTTTCATTTTATTTGAAAGAGAGACAGAGATACTCAGATCTTCCATCTGCTGGTTCACTCCCCAAAGGCCTGGGATTAAGTCAGGCTGAAACCAGGAACCCAGAACTCAGTTTGGGTCTCCCAATGGTTGGCAGGGACCTGAGTGCCTGAGCCATCACCCGCTGTCTTCCAGGATCCGCCTTAACAAGAAAGTAGTGTTGGAAGCAGAGCTGGAATCCAAACCCAGCACTCCAATACGGGACGCAGGGGTTCCACGTGGCGTTGTAACTACTGCACTACATACCCACTCCAGAAGAAACTTTTTAAATTATCCATAACCCTATCAGGTAGTGATAACCACTATAAATATTTTGGTGGGTTTTTTTTTACTCATTTTATACAATTACACATATACACTTAAATATATAATTTTAGATCAAAATTTCATAAATAATTGTTTCTAAAAATATGGAATGAAACTCACATGTATTAGCTTATCATCTCTCTTTTTTAAACTCTACACTAGGGGGCCAGCACTGTGGTGCAGTAGGTAAAGCTGCCGCCTCCAGTGCCAGCATCCCATATGGGTGCTGGTTTGAGTCCTGGCTGCTCCACTTCCAATCCAGCTCTCTACTATGGCCTGAGAAGGCAGTGGAAGATGGCCCCATTGCTTGGGCTCCTGCACCTGCATGGGTCACCCAGAGGAAGCTCCTGGGTCCTGGCTTCAGATCAGCATAGCTCTGGCCATTGTGGCCATCTGAGAAATGAACCAGCAGATGGAAGACCTCTCTCTCTCTGCCTCTCCTTCTCTCTCAGTGTAACTATGACTTTCAAACAAACAAATAAATATTTTTTATTATTATTTTATTTTATTTTTTGACAGGCAGAGTGGACAGTGAGAGAGAGAGACAGAGAGAAAGGTCTTCCTTTGCCGTTGGTTCACCCTCCAATGGCCGCTGCGGCCGGCGTGCTGCGGCCGGCACACCGCGCTGATCTGATGGCAGGAGCCAGGTGCTTCTCCTGGTCTCCCATGGGGTGCAGGGCCCAAGCACTTGGGCCATCCTCCACTGCCTTCCCGGGCCACAGCAGAGAGCTGGCCTGGAAGAGGAGCTACCGGGACAGAATCCGGCGCCCCGACCAGGACTAGAACCCGGTGTGCCGGCGCCGTAAGGCGGAGGATTAGCCTAGTGAGCCGCGGCACCGGCTACAAATAAATCTTAATATACCAATAC